CCACAGTATAACAGTGCAGTGAATGGAGAATGTCATAGGAGATGACACATGGATCCTTGTGTCTGCTGCTGTTTATGACAGAATGAATCTCCTCACAGCTCTGATGTCTCCTTTACAGAAGCAAAATTACAGTATAAGAGCTACATAAATAAACATATTCTAGAAACAATAATTTGTGTGTAAAGTGGATACTCTGGTACAGAGAACATGGAGATTGAAATTATAATGATGGGGTTTTCCCTAGCTGCAGATTTCTCCCCATCCCCTTAATGGTACTTTCTGGAACTCACAAGATTGTCCCCAGCTAAAACTTATGGCAATGTAGGAGAGGGTGCTTGAACTAGCCTTCCCCTGCACTGAGATTGGTGTCTATCCTAATTGTCATCATAGAACCTACATCCAGTGTCTGATGGAAGCAGATGCAGAGACCCACAGCCAAGCACTTGGCCAAGATCCTGGAGTTCAATTGAAGAGAGGGAGGAAGGATTATAGGAGCAAAAGGGGTCAGGATCATAATGGGAAAAACCACAGACACAGCTGACCCGAGCTAGTGGGAGCTTATGGACTCTGAACTGACAGCTGGGGAGTCTGCATGGGACTGCACTAGGCCCTCTGAATGTGGGTGAAAATTGTGTGGCTTGATGTGTTTGTGGGTCCCCTGGCAATGGGACCAGGACTTATCCCGGGTACACAAATTGACTTTTTAAAGCCCTTTTCCTATGGTACAATGCCTTACTCACCTGTGATGCAGTGGGAAGGAGTTATGCCCAAACTTGGTATGCCAGACTGTATGTTGAGTACCCAAGGGACACCTCACCCTCTATGAGGAGGGGATAGAGGTGGGATGGGGAGAGGTGGGAGGTGGGAGAAGGGGAGGAAGGGGAAACAGGGGTTAGTATGTAACAGGAATTCAAAATAAATTTAAAAGAAGAAATTGTAATGATGGTTTTAATTTTTAAATTAATTTATCAGTATTCTGTGTGTGTGTGTGTGTTTATGTATGTGTGTTTATCTGCATGTGTGCAGCAAAAAACAATTTTGTAGAGTTGGTTCTTTCTAACTTTATTTGGGTTGAACAGGGAATGTACATGGATCACTAGTCTTGCACAGAAAGTGCCTTTACCCACTGAGCCTACTTCCCAGGCTCATAAAGGAGTATACCAGGCTGGCTTTGAACTCATAATACACCTGCATCTATCTCTTCAGTGTATCCTATTGGCATGCACCACCATCACTAGATTAATTCTAAATCTGTAAAAAACAAAAATCTTATCTAACTGAAAGGCTAACAAATGTGTATCAACAAAGTCTTTGTAGGTAGTTACTGAGTTACCAGACAACTACTAAGCACAACTCATTTATCTTCTCATCACATATTCTGTATTGATCTCCTAGGATATGGCAGTTCCTAAAGAATGTCAGCCAGATGCACCTTTTAGGTCAGGATGGTGGCAGTTGAAAACAATTGAGATCTGTGATTGTTAATTTTTAGAGTTGACATTTTGTCAACTTGCACAGATAGTAAGGGTCCACACAGAGGCTGAAATCCAGGGCCCCCCAAACATTACAAATACTGTTTTACATGCAGGGAAATCTCAAGGTTAGTGCCCTCAATTTATATCAGACTTCAAAGCTGCCAGTTCCAGATTAAGGAAGTCACAGCAGGTGAAGCCAGGCATGACTGTGTGGTGTCCTGCATCAAGGTCCTTCCCTAAAGGGTCACAGAACAGTGAGGGTCATCAGCTACTTCTGTCACAAAACCAGCTGCCATTTTCAAAACAAGTATCAAGTTGCCTCTGCTGTGAGAAATTAAAAGCTTTCATGGAAAGAAAACAAGGAAAAGAAAGAAGGCAAATTTAGAATAAATACCTTCCTCACATTCCCCTGTATTCTCTATTCTCTCTGTGACTGGTCTGAAAGAATGTTTTCATGACACTTTTTTTTTTTAACTAGAAGAAACGGAAGACTTAAGACTTTCTTGGAGGAAAAAGTGAGGTTATATATTCTTTCTGAAGGCAATTCGAGAATTCTACAAAGCAATTGAAAGAATGAAAAGTAGCTAGCATTGCCAATTGACAAAGACTCTTTGCTTGCCTAATCTTTGTCAGACTCTTGGACCTACTCTTTTATGGCAAGACCCCTTTGTGCACTTTTAAAACCCAGTTGTAGAAAACTTCCATGTCAAGTGAGTTAGCAAGTCTTAGCAATCTTGGAGGCTGACCACCCTCCAACCTGCAGGCTATTTCTGATTGCCATGGTTGGTCTTCAGTAGGAATCCTGTTAACGATAGTTGGCCTAGAATCTTGCTTTACTCACAATTCCACCCAAGGTTTCTCTTGTTTGGGTAATTTTTCATCCATTGGCCTCCATCTGCTCTTTGACTCTACAGTTCCAACTTCATAAGGTATATTTAAAGATAAGATAAAACTTTCCCTTGTTGCAAAATTCCATTGTCAGGGCCCTGATACATATTAAGATGCCTCTGAATAGTGCCTTTAAATTTTTTAAAAATGTTTGAACAAGTATCATTGATTAAGTTTCTCTTTAACATAGCCCAGCAACACCAAGAGTATTACCCCATAAGGCTATGTGCAGAAAGAGGCTAACATTCTCCAAGACTCAATAATGCAAAGCATTTCACAGAAAGCAAATAAACATAGACAGACAAGCCTAATGTCCCTACCTAATCAGTGAAATTATTATAAAGTACATAGCTGATGATATCTGTGGAAAATGCTGGATGTATCATGGTCTTAGAGGGCCTGAAAGTAATCATTAGTTAGGATTTTAAGTTTGCCACTTTTTCAAGCATCCATGAATATCCACAAACAAACAAAATAATGATTATATCATTGTTAATGGATGGCAAGACTAGAGAAATAATGGAAACAAGGATCTAGTCTGCCACTGAATAACAATCAAAATAGTACATAGCAGCCACCAAAGTTAATTTCTAATTTGTCTTTCCCCAAAGTTGAACTGATATAACAAACAGGAGTCTGTGTAGGATACTCCAGCAGCAAATCTCATAATTCACTGAGAGAAAATAGATTCTGTATGAGAAATCTCAAGGGGAGAGAGAGTGCTCAGGATAAGGGCTGGTTACATATATTTCATACTAGATTGAAGTGACACGTCCCCACAAGCTCACTCTAAGTTCATCTCCTTGAACATCATTTAGGATGCAATTTTATCATTGATTTTCCTCCCATTAAGTTAGATCTCAAATATGCAAATTAATTTTAATTTTAACTCCAGTCTAAATTAGTATATCAACACAAATCTATTTCTTACCAAAGCTCCAAAATAGAAACAGCCAGAACAATGGCAAATTAGGACACAAAGAGGAAAAACTAAAATCACAAGATGCTGGGAAGAAAGAATCTCTGTAGTGTCTTTGGTAACTTATGTAGTGTGCCTTTTATCTCAGTTAACTATTTCCTTTGCTGTACAGAAGCTTTGTGGTGTCATTAAATCCACTTTCTAAATGAAGAACAAATGTCTAATAACCATAAAATCATTTGTCCTCACTTACTATCAGAAAAATATAACTAACAATTTTACTGAAATTCCATTGCACCTCAGCAGAATTGCAGCCAGCATGAAAAAAAATGAAAAAATGCTGTCCAGGATACAGAAAAAAGGTAACCCTTATATTCTTCTGGTGGGTATGTAAATTAATCCAGCCACTATGGAAGTTAGTATGGAGATTCCTTAAAAGACTAACAACAGGTCCTCCATAGGACCCTGCTTTACTGCTTCTGGGTATTTACCAAAGGGCTTCAAGTCAACGTATCACTGAGATACTTATACACCACTACAGCTATGCTATAGAATCAATCTAGGTATCCAACAACAGAAGCATTTTTAAATAAAGAAACTGTAGTTTGCATACACCATGAATTTTTGTCAGCAATGAAGAACAGAGCTTTATCATTAGGAAGAAAATGAATGCAATTGGAGATCATCATAATAAGCAAATTAAGTCAGTCATAAAGTACTATATGTTTTCTCTCATCTGTGGCTCTTTATAGACTTATATGTTTATAAAATCATATATGTGTAAATGACATGGAAATAGAATCCAAACTGTATAGACAGCAATGGGACTAATGGGAGGATGGAATGTATGGGAGGGATATGTTCAAGGTACATTGTATGTTAGCATGAAAATGGCCTTTGGCCTCTATATGAAAATAAAATGTAAAAAGATAAATGCTTGTTTCATTTTAAATTACAATTTCTCAAAGATCCATGCAGTTTTGCAACATAGGTTAAGCACAAGGTATGGTGCTAGCAAGCCTTCAAGCTAACTTGTATCCAAACTGACTTCCACCAGCCACATTATGTTCCTGAGGACTTCCTCAAATCTCAGATGTTCGTAGTATATAATTAAGCTATCTTAGAATCAGTTTTCAACCAGTGACTGATAAAAGGTGGTCTATAAATGTTTTGGCTCTTTCATCTTTGGATAGATGAATTCTAAAACATGAGTGTTACACACTTTCCAGTTTTCCCAGTTTAATACTCCAATGTTCGTAACCTTTCTGCTATGAACTGGATATGTGCATCTCTCTGACATTTCTATGTTGGCACTTAGACCTAAAGATGGTCATCAGAGATGAGGCCTTAAGGAGGTGACTGGATCATGAAGGCAGGATCCATGTCCTTTAAAATAGCTGAAGATGAGCTTTTTTCTGTTTTGTCTTCCTGCCCCAGGAGGATGTAGCCCTCTCTTGAAGCCAGCCGTTTATGGGTGCTGGTAATTTGACTTTGACTTTTTTCACCTTGAGATCTTTGATTTCCCTGACCTTTGAAAAACTGTTGGTTAATTTAAACAGAGTTATCTTAAATAACCTATACCTTTAAAAAATATTATACATGGTTACAAAGGCCATCTTCATGCACTTATATGGTGTATTTGGATAAAATTCCCTCACACACCACTACACTCCCCTTCTTCTCTTCCCATCATTAGACCTCAGAGTAACAAATTTCTATTATTTACAAATGGTCTAGTCTAGAGTATTTAATTGCAGTGCAGCATGGAACCAAGTCATGCTCCTTCACTGTGCTGTTTTCTCTCTCAATGATGCTCCATGAAGTTTCCAAATGATGTTCTTGCTCTTGAATCCCACCTCAAGTTCTGATCCTAGAGGGAATCCCAATCAAAATAGAAGAGGTCAAAGGACTCAGGCTTTAGAAATAAGAAAGTACTTTTTCCTATTGTCTTTTATGACTTCTTACAAGAATTTAATAAGATAGAATATAGAACTCAGAGAAATCAACTGCTATGAGTAATGTCTTCATAGGATTCCAGTTATTGTTGCCAACTTTGCTCCCATTCTGAGGAATATCTTTTCACAAGCAAATAAATTTATAAAAGTACACTTCAGTGATGATAAATGACTATGTTACTGCTCTATGTATACTTGAATCTATGTTTTAAAATGTATTCTTTGTGATTAAAAGAAATCATTTACTATGAAACTATGCTATGTTACACCAGCAGCCAGTTCATACATTCTGCGTTTACTGTGCCTCTTGCTTACATCAAAGGCCACCTCATGAGAGAGACTTATTTATAAAAATCCCAGAATGAAATGTGTTCTTTGTTTGGTGATTGTTAAATTAATATTTTTTTAAAAGATGTACCTGCATTTGGCTTTTGTAATGTTCTCTGTAAGGCTGCATAGTGACAAAATCATAAAACATACATTTCCCAGAAGAAATCCACATCTTTGGGTACCACAGGGCTAGTTTCTGCCCTTCCCTCAAATATCACCATTCTGGTATGGCTGATCTGACCCCTCTATTTGAAATCACACTTAGGACCTCCACCCATGCCAAACTTTCTGATCCCTTTATTCTCTCCATATTCTCCAGAGCATCAGCTACTGACATGGAACACACTTGCTTACAATGCTCACTGTATGTTCTCTGTCTCTTATTCAAAGGAGAGATTTATCTACTGCGTTCATTACTGTGGCCCCTACATGACCTAAAAACACATAAGAGAACTCAAGTTCATCTATTAAAAACATGGGTGACTAGTTTACAATAGCAATTGTACCATTTGTTTTCAATTTTTTTATCTAGTCTAAGGATAAAGCAGGCTTGTATAAGCACCACTTGAATAGAAAAATCTAATTGCATTCATTCACTTAAATTTTTGTTATTAGTGCATATGTTTATGTGTATATGTGGGGGGGTACATAGGGGGGCACCTCCTACTATGAGTATGTCAAGATAAGATGTCAGTTATCTCCTTCCATCTTTATGTGGGTTTGAAGGAGAAAACTCAGGTCAGCAGGCTATGCAGCAAATGCTTTCACCCGATGAGCAATCTTTCTGGCCCGCTAGTTATTTGTTTTTCCCTTATCAGTTAAATAATTGAATTAGAACCAAAGGTTTTTCTGTTCTACAGTGGTGTCAACAGTCAGCGAAAACCCTGGACAACATAGAGGAAAAAAGAAGGACTCCTTAGTGGGAAGACTACATTTTGTGTTTAAAATAAAATTGAAGTCAGAAAATGGAAATCTCCTCTAACACTGCCCCTTTCTAAGCAAATAAAAACTCTAGGGACAGTTATGGACTTTTTCTATCTCATTTGCTTTGCATTACTTTTAAGCAAGGTATAGTGATACTGTTATTCTTAGGTACCTCAGGTGATTCCCATGTTGATTTTGAGATTTTTTTTCCACCCATTCTATTGGACACAAATCATTGGTAGGATTCCTCTCCACCATTCTATAGAACAAACATCATGTGAATGGCTACACTACATTATTCTATAGAGTACACATGATGTAAAGGCCCTACCCCACCTTCTTTAGAATGTATATCATGTACAGTACAAGCCCTACTCCATTATTTTACAAAATGTACATCAGTCAGGCTCTGTTCTACTATTCTATAAAATGTACATCATGTATAAGACTCCTGTCTTAGTTACTGTTCTATTGCTATGAAGAGACACCAAGCCAATTCTTATAAAAGATAGCATTTAATTGGGGACTTGTTTATAGTTTCAGAGGCTTATTCTGTTATCTTCATGGCACAGAGCATGGAATCAGGCAAGAGTGGTACTGGAGAAGTAGCTGAGAGCTATATCCTGATGTGCTAGCAGAGAACGATAAAGAGAGACCGGGCCTAGCATGGGCTTTGAAAACCTCAAAGCCCATTCCCAATCACAACTTCCTCCAACAAGGCACAAGTACTCCAAAAAGGCCACACCTACTAATCCTTCTAATCCTTTCAAGAAGTTCCTCTTTCTGGTGACCAAGCATTCAAATATATGAGCATATGGGGGCCATTCTTACTGAAATCACTAGAGCATCTCTCTACCATTTTATAGAACTCATATCATGTAGAAGACTCCACCTCTCCATTCTATAGAATGCACAAGGTTCTACTGCACCATTGTATATAATGAGCTTCATGCATAAGGGTCTACTTTACCACTGCACACAACTGTATGTGAGTGTACTATGGCTTGACAAAATATCATAGAACTATCCTGTCATCCTTTTAAGTTTTGATAGTTCCTACCTCCAGCAAGCACAAGACTATATGATTTATTTATTTTTGGTTTAATTCAAGTAAAGTATAATAGAAACTTTAAAAAATGTGCATTGTTGAAAAAATGATTGCTGAAGCCAACTCACACAAATGTTTTCAGCAAATATCTGAAATTCTACTTTTTAAAATAAACTGCATATTAACACAGTTTTTCCCCAGGATACAATCTTTAAAATGTATCCTTTAAAAATATAATTTCTTCATATAAAATTGAGTACTGGTCTTTCAAGTTCTGTAAAGAATTGTGTTGGGATTTTAATGAGGACTGCATTGGATTTGTAGATTATTTTTTGGTAAAATGGTCATTTTTACTATGTTAATCATAACTATATATGAGCATGAGAGATCTTTCCATCTTCTGATATCTTCTCCAATTTCTTTCTTCAAAGACTTGAAGTTCTTGTCATGTAGGTCTTTCACTTGCTTGGTTAGAGTTACACCAAGATATTTTATGTTATTTGAGGTTATTGTAAAAGGTGTTGATTCCCTCACATTATTTCTCAGCCCATTTATCATTTGGATATAGGAAAGTGACTGATTTTTTTAGTTGATTTATATCCAGTCACTTGACTAAAGGCATTTATCAGCTACAAGAGTTCTCTGGTAGAATTTTTGGGGTCACTTATATATACTATCATATCATTTGCAAATAATGCTACTTTGACTTCTTCCTTTCCAATCTCTGTCTCCTTGATTTTCTTTAGTTGTCTTAATGCTCTAGCTAGGACTTCAAGTACTATATTGAATAGGCATGGAAAGAGTGGACAACTTTGTCTTGTTTATTATTTTAGTGGAATTGCTTTGAGTTTCTCTCCGTTTAATTTGCTGTATATTGCTTTTATTATGTTTAGGTATGTCCCTTATATCCCTGATCTCTTCAAGACTTTTATCATGAAGGCATTGTGGATTTTGTTGAAGGCTTTTTCAGCATCTAATGAGATGATCTTATGGGTTTTTTCTTTCAGTTTGCTTATATGGTGGATTACATTGGCAGATTTTTAAATGTTGAATTATCCCTGCATCTCTGGGATGAAGCCTACATACAAAAAACCCCAGATAATTGAATCAATCTTGTACAATAAGAGAACTCCAGAGGTATCATCATCCCTGGTTTCAAGCTCAACAAACCATATATTACTGGCAATGAAAACGGCCAGGTTGATCAATGGAATCAAATTGAAGACCCAAGCATTAATCCACATACCTATGGACACCTGATTTTCAACAAAGAAGACAAAATTATACATTGGAAAAAAGAAAACATTTTTCAACAAATTGTGCTGGTATAACTGGATGTCAACATGTACAAGAATGTCAACAAATCCATATTTCACCCTACACAAAACTCAACCCCCAGTGGATCAAAGACCTTAATATTAATCCAGATACATGGGACCTTATAGAAGAGAAAGTGGGAAATGGCTTTGAGTACACTGGCACAGGAGGCAACTTCCAGACAGGACATCAATAGTGTAGACACTAAGTTCTACACTTAATAAATGGGACATCATGAAACTGAAATGTTTCTGTAAGGCAAAGTACACCATCAATAGGACAAAATGGCAACCTACAGAATGGGAAAAGATCTTCATCAACCCCACATCTGATAGAGGGCTGATTTCTAAGATATATAAAGAACTCAAGAAACTAGACATCAACAAACCAAATAATCCAATTAAAAATGGGGTACAGATCTGAACAGAATTCTCAATAGAGGAATCTCAAATGACAGATAAGCACTTAAGGTGATGTTCAATATCCTTAGCTACCAATGAAATGCAAATCAAAACTACTCTTCCATCTTACACTTCTCAGAATGGCTAAGATCAAAAATACAAGTGACATCTCATGCTGGAAAGGGTGTGGAGCAAGGGGAACACTTCTCCATTGCTGGTGGGAGTGCAAACTTCTACAGCCACCTTGGAAATCAGTGTGGCAGTTTCTCAGAAAACTGCATATCAATCTACTACAAGACCCAGCTATACTATTCTTGAGCATATACCTAAAAGATGCTGAATCATATCACAAGGACACTTGTTCAACTATGTTCATAGCAGCTTTATTTGTAATAGCCAGAAACTGGAAACAACCTAGATGCCCCTCAACCAAGGAATGGATAAAGAAAATGTAATATATTTACATAATGGATTATTACTCAGTTGTTAAAAACAATTACATCAGGAAATTTGAAGGCAAATGGATGGAACCAGAAAAAAATCATCCTAAGTGAGGTAACCTAGAAAGACAAACATGGTATGTACTCATTCAGAAGTGGATATTTGCTATAAAATAAATGATAACTATGCTATAATCTACAGACCCAAAGAGACTAGGTAACAAGAAAGGATCATGGGGAGACACTTAGATCTTCCAGGGAAGGGGAAATAGAATACATTTCATAAATGGATGGTGGGTTGGAATGGGAACATAAGTGATCAGGTTGAGGGGTGCATAGGAGGAGAGTGCTGAAAGAGACTATTAGAAAGGTAAAAACCTGGTGCAAGAGAATCTTCCAGGAATCCACAAAGATGACCCCAGCTAAGACTCCTAACAATAGTAGATACATAACCT